ATTTTTTTTCTCTTTTCGTTGTCCTGTATTTTATGATGACATTTATCATGGTTTGATTATTCGAATTAGTGTTTTCGCATTAGTGAGAGTACAGCGAGCAGTCGAGTAAAGGAACCTCTAATAATCATGCTTCAATAAACAATTGTCGTCTTTGAAAATATGAAATTAATCTGATATACGAGATCGGAAAAATACAAATGCAAAAAAAACAATCTCATGTATTTTTTTTGCTCATTTTTCAAATTGAATCGCAGTTTAGTTGTATTACTAAGAGTAAAACATAATGAGACAATCGGATAAATTCTTTCTCATTTAAATTTTTTTAACGTTATAGAGCTAATCGAATAATGTTGTTTTTTGAAGCATAAATCATTGGAAGTATGCGAGAAAACATAATGATCAACTATTCAAAAATGCAAAATTAAAAATCATATCAAAACGCTAGCTTTCTTATCAACTCTAAACACTTGATGTATTGTACAATACGCGAATACTAATGTACAAAAAAAAAAAATCTTTTGTTCTCCCTCGATAATATAAGCCTTGCAAGAAGACTGTCATATGATTATTAGTATCTAAAGTTTTGATTCACGAAAAAGTTGAATATCAATAGTATTTTATAGAAGTCTTAGTGAAACTATCTTCTATGAAGTGAAGTTAGTGTTTTCAATCGATCCATAATTGAGTAGCACTAAACCATTTTTACAATTGAACAATGAAATATAATTGAATAGCTTATTGACATTTATTGTGCAGATTCATCAGAAGGTCATTTGAAAATTGATGAAGTTTTAAAGATGCATAATTGAATTATTATTATTATTATATTTTTACTAAAGACTTGTCTCACAGGCGAACGTGTCGTTCAATAATTCATGACAAAAATGCCAATATTCTTTTCGACATCAAAAATCTATAGAACCCCTTTCAAAACTTTTGAAAACCCCTTAGCAAAATATTGAATGTTGCATTCGTTAACAAAAATATTAAAATATTCGATTATTTTCACCTAAAACTCTTGCAGTTCATCATCAAACAATAAAATTCATTGATTTTGATTTGGTTTGTATATTTCGTTTTATTTCAATTGAATACAATAAATAGTCATGTTTAAAATATCAACTCAACTCTTCATATGGCTACATGAGCCAATGAAACTCACATGTCATCTATAGGCATATACAAAACTCTCGCATAACATATATTGTCTCTCAGTAAGAAGAACGAAATTTGACTCACGCTTCATTGCTTGCTTGCTTGATTTGAGAATCGAGGAGATGAATTTAGATGCGTAAGAGCTTCTTTCATTCGATTGCAATCAAATATGATATCTTTCGTTCTTTATGGTTTCTATTCGAATATCTGCTTTTCAACGCAAGCAATCGAAATAGGTCTAGTGACAATTGCAGTTATTCTCAGGCATTTTTTTTCACTCTGTATCTAAAAAAGCTTTGAAATTTGAATGAAATGAAGAAAAAAAACTGAAAATGTGTCATCTATTGATACTTGACCTATTTTTCAAGAAAAAAAGGTCATTCGAAAAAAACTGGCAATACATTCCCTAAATCTCGTTCAAAAAAATTTAAAATCTCATATTCTTGATCTATTCGTTATGCTCTATCTAGTCATGTATAAAAAGAAGAAAGACTTTAACTAAAATTTTATATCTGGTGCCTTACTTGCATGCTTTAGTATAGATCATATGTTTTCTGCTAAATTATTGTAGAGCACATTTATCATGGATAAAGTTGACGTGTGTTTTATGCTGGGATACTAGTTGAGAGTTTCACATGGATAGAAATTTGATTTCTGATTCTTGAAAATTTCACTTTGAAAAACAGAGTAGTTGTGTGCGATCTATTTTCGTATTCGAACTTCATTTTCAACTGAAACCAAAAAACAAAAAAAATCAATCAGATTTGTTGTTGGCAGCAGTGTCATTGTGAATATGCC